CCTCTTCAGCGTCCTCCCGCGGCTCCACAGCGCCGACGCCTCCGCCAAAGCAGCCCGTGGCCCAAATTACCTTCCTGTCCTGGCCCACGGGCTCCGGCGCAGACACCGGGAGAAACTTCGGGTTTCTTCCCGAGCAGGCTCCGGCATCCTCCGGACCCACCATCTGAGGGCGGTGGCCGCCGCCCCAGGAGGCAAGGAAGGACTCCAAGGGAGGCTTGGTCGGAGAACAGCTCTGGGTGCTGGGGCCGCGGCGACAGCCGCCGCAACGTTCCCAGACCCACCCCTCCCACCAGCAGGGTCAGACAGTTGCGGGAGGGCGGGCACGCGCTAGGACTCGCGCACGCGCAAAAGCCGGACCGGTCAAGCCCCGACCTGGAGATTCCCCGAACCATAGAGACGGTAGCTAGAGAGACGCAGGCTGCCAATCTAGGATCCGCCATCTGGATGTTGGAGGTTGGTTGGCCCGCTCCAAGCCTGACAGTTCTTACAGAAGCGCGGGAATTGCTCGCTTAACAAAAATTCACTTGATGTATTTCATTTATGGTAGTAAAATACTCCCATATTTGGGAAGTATTAGCGTGGGGAAGTCCTTCCAGCTCTAATTGGTCACCAATAGACTCCGACTTTTACATCCTTCTCCATCATCATTGCCACAGTTCAGGGCTTCATCGCTTCATCAAGGAGGGTCAACATCCTTCCTTCTTCACTTTATCTAACACAAAAGAAAGATAACTAGATTATCTTGCTCTCCTAGCACCACGTTTCATCACAGTCCTCTGTTTAAAAGATCATCACCTAAGGAGGGAGAGGAAGTGGTCAGGCAGAGAGGAGCAGTTGAAGTAATTCCAGCACTATGCGATAATGGATTAAAATGGGATGATTGACCATTTAGTGGAAATGAAGCGTATTTCAAGTAAAAGCCGAAAGACTTGATGACTGATCAGAAGAAGTGACAGAAGAGAGTAGCCAATGATTACTACGAAGGTATGAGACTGAAACTGATAAGATTTGAAGAAATAGAAAATTGGAGAAGAAAAAACAATTAATAGAGGAAATACATCTGGTAAAGTAAACGACTGAAAATATCCAGCATATAGAGCTCCAAAACTTGAGTTGGCCGGGCTCAGTGGCTCACGCCTATAATCCCAACACTTTGGGAGGCCGAGGTGGGTGGATCACCTGAGGGTAGGAGTTCGAGACCGGCCTGGCCAAAATGGTAAAGCCCAGTCTGTACAAAAAATAAAAATAAAAATAATTAGCCAGCTGTGGTGGTGGGCACCTGTAATCCCAGCTACTTGGGAGGCTGAGGCAAGTCCCTTGTCCATTTTTTAGTTGAGGCAAGAGAATTGCTTGAACTTGGGAGGCTGAAGTTTCAATGAGCCGAGATCACACCACTACACTCCAGCCTGGGCAACAAGAGCAAAACTCTGTCTCAAATAAATAAACAAATAATAAAATTTGGGTTAGAGTTTAAGTTCAGAGACACAGATTAAGGCATCATCTGGATAATGCAAATAGGTGGCTGAATCATGAGTAACATTCCCTAGGAAGAAAGAATATTGATAAAGGCCAGGCACAGACCCAAATGTTTCATTATTTCAGGACAAAGAAATTGTGTTGCAAGAGATTTGAAAAGGCACCAGTTGTGGATGAAACGAAGCAGAAAATATAGACCACTCATTCTAAAAGTATGTTAGTGAAAGCAAGAACAAAAATAAAATAGAGTCATAGAGGAGACATTATTGTCAAGCCTTTTCAATTTTTTTCATATAAAAATACATATATATACAGATACAAGAAAGAGGGAATATAACCTTTATATAATAAAAGGTCAATAAAATGGGCATGCATGTTCCTAACACCAAATTTCAAAAAACATCAAGAGGGCAGGTGCAGTGGCTTGAATCTGTAATCACAGCAGTTTGGGAGGTGGAGGCGGGCAGATCACTTGAGGTCAGGAGTTCAAGACCAGCCTGGTCAATATGGTGAAACCCCACTGCTACTAAAAAAAATTAATAATAATACAAAGAATTGCAGGGCGTGGTGCAGGGCGCCTGTAATCCCAGCTACTCAAGAGGCTGAGGCAAGAGAATCACTTGAACCCAGGAGGGAAAGTTTGCAGTAAGCCAATATTGCACCACTGCACTCCAGCCTGGGCAACAGAGCAAGACTCCATCTCAACAAGATAAAAACATCAAGTGTCTTCAAAAATGAGCATTGTTGAAGGCCCTAGGGAAGGACTAAGTGGCAAAGGCATATTTAGCAATGCATTTGTTATCAAGGTATTTCAGAAGGAAGAAGTGACTTTCAGGACACAAGTGTAAAAGTTAATATAAAAAGAGAGAAAACAGTGCTGCAACGAACGTAGGTGTGCATCTGTCTTTATAATAGAATGATTTATAATCCTTTAGGTATATACCCAGTAATGGGATTGCTGGGTCAAATGGAATGTCTACTTCTAGATCCTTGAGGAATCACCATACTGTCTTCCATAATGGTTGAACTAATTTACACTCCCACTAACAATGTAAAAGTGTTCGTATTTCTCCACATCCTCTCCAGCATCTGTTGTCTCCAGATTTTTTAATGATCCAACGCAAATGCCCATGAATGATAGACCAGACAAAGAAAATGTGGCACATATACACCATGGAATACTATGCAGCCATAACAAACGACGAGTTCACCTCCTTTGCAGAGACATGGATGAATCTAGAAACCATCATTCTCAGCAAACTGACACAAGAACAGAAAACCAAACACTGAATGTTTTCCCTCATAGGTGGGTCATGAACAATGAGAACACTTGGGCACAGGGAAGGGAACAACACTCACTTGGGCACAAGGAAGGGAACAACACTTGCTGGGGGTGGAGGGAAGGGGAAGGGAGGGACAGCGGTGGGGGGAGGGGTGGGGAGGATGGGGAGGGATAACACTGGGAGAAATGCCTGATGTAGGCGATGGGCCAGGGGAATGGAGACAGCAAACCATATGGCATGTATATACCTATGCAACAATACTGCAGGATGCGGGATGTGCACATGTACCCCAGAGCCCAAAGTACAATTAAAAAAGAGAGAGAGAGAGAAAATATTTGCAAATTGTATATCTGGTAAGACTGCATTATCCAGACTATATAAAGAATTCATATAAATCAAAAACTAAAACACAACCCAACTAAAAAATGGACAAGGGACTTGAATATACGTTTCTCCTAAGAAAAACATGTTAATGGACTATTAATAAGCATGTGAAATGATGGTCAACATCATTAGTCATTAATGAAATGCAAATCAAAACTACAATGAGATAGAACTTCACACCCACCAGGATGTCTATAATCAAAAAAATAGGAAACAAGTGTTGAAAAGGATGTGGAAAGAGTAGAACTCTCATACATTTCTGGTAGAGATGTAAAATGGTGCAGCTTTTGTGAAAAATAGTTCGGTGGTTCCTCAATAAGTTAAACATAGAATTACTAAATGACCAGCAATTTTACTCCTAGGTATATACCCAAAAGAACAAAAATGTTTTATGTGGACTGGGCATGGTGGCTCATGCCTGTCATCTCAGCACTTTGGGAGGCCAAGGCGGGCAGATCACCTGAGGTCAAAAGTTCGAGACCAACCTGGCCAACATGGTGAAACCCCATCTCTATTTAAAAAAAAAAAAAAAAATACAAAAATTAGCTAGGCGTGGCAGTGTGTGCCTGTAATCCCAGCTACTTGGGAGGCTGAGGCAGGGAGAACCGCTTAAACTCGAGAGGCAGAGATTGCACTGAGCCAAGATCATGCCATTGAACTTCAGCCTGGGCAACTCCTTCTCAAAAAAAAAAAAAATGTTTTACATGAATGTTCATAGCAGCATTACCAATAATAACCAAAAGGTGGAAACAACCCAAATGTCCATCATCAGAGGAACTGATAAACAAAATATGGTATATCCATGCAACCAAATATCACTCAGCTGTGAAAAAGAAATGAAGTACTGATTTATGCTACAAGATAGATGAATCTGAAAGGCATTATGGTGGTGTGTACCTGTATAGACCCAGCTACTCGGGTGGCTGATGTAGGAGGATCTCTTGATCTGAGAAGTTCAAGACCATAGTGAACTATAATTGTGCCTGTGACTAGGCACTGTGCTCTAATCTGGGCAATATAGCAAGACCCCATCTCCTAAAAAATAGATAACATATAATTCCATTCCTATGAAATATACAGAATAGATAAATTCATAGAGACAGAAAGCAGACTGGTGATTATCAATGACTAAGGGAAAAGAGAAATAGAGAGTGACTATCTAATGCATATAAGGTTTTGGGGGGGTATAAAATGAATTGAATGAAAGTGAGGTGAACATGAACATATTGAAACTAGATAAGGGTAGTAGTTGTACAACATTGTGAATGTACTAAATGCCATTGAATTGTACATTTTAAAATGGTTAATTTTACATTATGTGAATTTCACCTCAAGTATAAAAAAACAATATTCAAGATATCTGAACATAAGGATTGTTACAGGATGGTAAAAATGAGGGTAGCTGCAGGAATCTAATCTCAATCTTTTCTCCTTTCAACCTTTGTTCTCTCTGAGTAAATAATTTATTCTGCAATTTTCTTTCTGCTGTAAAACATTTCCTAACTCAACTTATTCATGTCTAGCCACCACTATATTTCTTCTTTAATGAAATGATACTATTTTTAAACTCCGATTTTCTAAATGATTTATTTTGTTCATCTCCTTCCTTTTCCATGGTCAATAGCAGCAAAGGTTTTATGAATTATGATAGTATGATAACCCTACTATTTTCTCAGTACAGACTTCAAAACTAAAACACATTCATATTTTCTAACTTTGTCTATGGTAAAATGTAATGCATAATAAACTATATTCAAAGTTCTTGCTATATTTCCTACATTTTTTTTAAGATATAGGGTCTTCCTATGTTGCCCAGGCTGGAGTGTGGAGTGCAGTGGCTACGCAGTGACTATCCATAGTCCTGATCATCTGACCAGAGTGCACTGCAGCCTCGAACTCCTGTGCTCAAGCCATCCTCCTGCCTCAGCCTCCCTAGTAACTGGTACTACAAGCATGTCGCATCACCTGGCTATTTCCCACCTTTCAACTGTAAAAGTTTCTGTCTTATCTGGTAAGTAATATCATAGCCTATTTTTTCTTTTTCTTTGTGTTTTCTTCCATATCTGATTTTTGTAAAGAAAAAAAAAATATATATATATATATAGTGAAAATGGCCATACTGCCCAAAGTAATTTATAGATTCAATGCTATCCCCATCAAACTACCCATGACTTTCTTCACAGAATTGGAAAAAAACCACCTTAAACTTCATAGGGAACCAAAAAAGAGCCTGCATAGCCAAGGCAATCCTAAGCAAAAAAAACAAAGCTGGAGACATCACGCTACCTGACTTCAAACTGTATTACAAGGCTGCTATAATCAACACAGCATGGTACTGATACTGAAACGGCAAAACAGTCTGCTTTCAAAATACAGCATATTCTTTTTGGGGTCCCTTAAAAGTCTGACATTAAAAATTTTTGATAGCATATGACATTACTACGATTCTAGGCATAAATAATATATCCTGGTACATTCCTACAAATAGGTGAAGCTATTATGAGAGAAGATACTCTCAATTTTTGTAAAATATAAATTAACTTAGTTAAAACATGGAAAATATTGCTTTACTTTGGTTCTTACGTTTTCTAAAAAAATTTACTTTCACATAAATTCTCAAAATGCATATAATTTGCTGGACATCAGGGCATGTGTCTGTAGTCTCAAATACTTGGGAGGCTGTGGTGGGAGGATCATTTGAGCTTGAGAGTTCAAGACTAGCCTGGGCAACATAGTGAGACGCTATTCTTTAAAATAAAAATTTTTAACTTTAGAAATTAAAAATACATAAAATAAATAGTACATATAACTGGACATATTCTATATGCATGACCTATTCCTCATTGAGGTGTGAAATATGGTACCATAATCTCATTATTTTGTCACAGTCATACTCAAGAGTATAAAGGCCTTAAACAAAGCACTTAAAACAAAAGGACTCAAAGTTTCTTCTATCTTCCTTTAACCCCCAACCATTTTCTTACTGTACTGGATTCTTAAATAGCATCAAACATGTTGTGATGGTTCATATTAGGTGCAAACTTAACTGGATTGAGGGATAACCTTGGCTGTACATTCGAAACACTTAGGAAGTTTTAAAAATACAGATGCCTGAGACCCTCCTCAGACCAATTAAGTCAGTATCTCTAGAGGAGGAGCTCTGCTTTTTATGTCATCATCATATTAACCTTACAAACTTTTAAAAGAAACACTCTTTTTTCTTAGTTTCCATTACTTTATATTCTCCATTTTTTTTCTGCTACATTTTTGGTGGTTTCTTCTAAGGACTCTTTGAGAGGGTTCTTCTTCTTTAATGTAAATGTAGTGTCTTTCTATTTTTTTAAAGACAGAGACAAAGTCTTTTTTATGACTATAAGACTACCCTTCATGGTCTGTCTACCCATCCAGCCCCTTCTCCCACTTTTCTCCCAAACTCTCTGAACTTCAGTCATATTGGTCTTCAGTATTCTTTTTGCTCTAACTACTACAGGGCTTCTTCTGCAAGATCCTGTGTCTAAGATGTTCTCCATGATGAACTGCTATAATGACTTTTACCTACTGACATACTTTGGATATTTGTCCCTGCCCAAATCTCATGTTGAATTGTAATTCCCAGTGCTGGAGGCGGGGTCTGGTAGAAGGTGCTTGGATCAAGCGGACAATCCCTTCTGCTTGGTGCTGTCTTTGTGATAGTGAGTTCTTTGTAAGATCTGGTCATTTAAAAGTCTGTGGCACTCCTCTACCCCACTCTCTCCCACTTTCACTGTGTGACATGCCTGTTCCCCCTTTGCCTTCTGCCATGATTGTAAGCTTCTTGAGGACTCCCTAGAAGCTGAGTAGATGCGAACACCAGGCTTCTGGTAAAGTCTGCAGAACCTTGAGCCAATTAAATCTCTTTTCTTTATAAATTGTCCATTCTCAGGCATTTCTTTATAGCAATGCAAGAATGGCCTCTTCAGCCTCATCTCACACTTTTCTCTTCACCCACTGTGTTTCAAACACATTATCCTTTTCTCTGTTTCTGAAATTATGTCCTGAGCCCCTTCCACCTAAGGGTCCTGATGTATGTTGATCTCCCTGCCTCAAGTACCCTTCCCCACCTTGTTAACTTGGCTAATTCCTACTCTTTCTTCAGGACACAGTTTTAAGGTCACCTCTTCAGAGGAACTTCCAATTGCTTAAGCTCCTGTTATATGCTAGCATAGCACTCTTTTTCCTCATAGTCACTATCACAGCTCTAATTTTATAGTTATTTGAGCTGGCATCTGTACACACACAAACATATTATACTGCAAGCCCTATGAGGAGAAGGAGTACGTCTGTTTTGCTCACCTTCTTAGTACTAGTATCTAACACAGTGCCAGACACATTAAACAGTTCAGTAAGCATTTATTAAAGGAATATGTGAATAAACAGGTAAATAAAACTGGTATCAAAATATGTATACATAAAAATACAAAAATTTTTGTATTTTGTCTACTCATATGCTTTGGATATTGTCCCTGCCCATGTCTCATGTTGAATTGTAATTCTCACTGCTGGAGGTGGGGCCAGGTAGGAGATGCTCAGGTCATGCAGACAGATCCCTCTGTCCACAAAATACAAAAAAAAAAACACCAAAATTTGTATTTTTGTGTACACATATTTTGATACTAGCTGGATGTGGTGGCACATCCCTGTAATTCCAGCTACTTGGGATGCTGAGGCACAATAACCACTTGAATCTGGAAGGAGGAGGCTGCAATGAGCTGAGATCATGCCATTACACTCTAGCCTAAGTGACAGAGTGAGACTGTCTCAAAGAAAAAATGATAGGAAAATTCAAAAGTTTTGTAACGCAATGGAAATGTAAAATTTTATAAGACTGTGCAAATTGGTTTGCTACTGAAATCTTCTTCAACTTCTGTAATGAGTTTAAATTCCATGCATGCCTGGTAAAAACCCAGCTGGTAAGAGAGGGTGACTAGACTAAGGTTGCAGATTATAGTTAGATAACAAGTGTTGAAAGGATGCCTAACTGTAGATTAATTTAGCAGGGCGTGATATGTGTGGGAAATGAATGATAGTAAGATCACAAGGTAGCAGCTGTTTGGTAAGCCACAGTGGGACAGCCACAAACAAAGAGACAGATGAATGGTTAAGAATGCACACCGATCCTCTGGGGAAGCAAACTGATGCCACATATCAAGAGGTACTATAATTCTACTCATGGGAGTTTGTCATAAGGAAATCATTCCAAAAAATAAAATAAAAGCTGTATAAAGATGCTGATAGCAAAACTTTTAAGAGTTAAAAATCAGAGATTACCTAAATAATCAATAATATGAAAAGTGTAGGAAAAACTAGGTCTATCAGTGAAACATCATGAATACAATTAAAATGATAGAATGCAGAAATATGGAGATGGTTTACAAAATAATAATAAAAAGTAGAGGTACACAATTGTATACTGTAATTACAAAGATGTATGAAACTGTATATCTGGCTTGATAAAAATAAAAAAGATAGACAGGAAAAGGAAAATTATGGATTTTAAATTTTTTTACTCTTTCCCTTTTATAATTCAAATTTTTAAAAAATTGTTTTGCCTTTAGAGACTGGGTCTTGATATGTTACCCAGGTTCGTCTGAACTCAGGGCTCAAGCAATCCTTTTGGCTCAGCCTCCCAAGTAGCTGGAATTAACAGGCAGGCACCACTACACCTGGCTTGTCCTTTTATGACATTTTAAAAATTGATGGTAACTCTTTGAAGGAATGCTCTGAAGTGCATTTCCATATGCATATCAGAGCCATGAAGAAACAGGGGTTGTAAATATGTTTATACTGCAAGAAGACATTAAGTTACATTTGCAAGAAAAAAACACTATAAGCTCACATTTAAAAATTATAGACAGACTTATAAAAAAAGATGCATTCTGCAGATAATTGCTACTTCTTTAAACAAATGAGAGTTTTTGCATAAATTTAATGTGAGAAAATCCTGGCATGGTGATGCATTCCTGTAGTCTCAAATATGCGAGGCCAAGAAGGAAGGATGACCAGAAGTTTGAGGCTGCAGTGCACTATGATCTCTTCCTGTGAATCCTGTAAATAGCTACCACCCTCCAACCTGTGCAATATAGAGAGACCCTGTCTTTAAAAAACAAAAAGAAAGAAAAAGAAAGCAAAATACATTCAGGATAAGGAGGATTAAAGTTTATTAAATGTTACTATTTTCAGAAACAGTGGGGGCTAGACCTAATAAGTTAAATATCTCTCTTTTATTTTGTACAGTGACAGCTTATTTTTATTATTACAAAAGCATAACAGGTTAACGGGAGCCATTGTACAATAGAACAAAATAAAAAATTTAAAAAACAAAAAACAAAATAGCCACAATCCCATCACCAGAAATAATAAATGTTAATATTAATTATTAATAGAATAATTTATATTTAGAATTACATTTGCTGTGTTGTTTCCCATTTTATGGATGAAATAAGTTATATTTAACTAATTTCCTTTTATTAGTCATTTTGATTGTTAACCATTTTCCATTATAAATACTGTTGCAATGAAATTCCATGTTTATAGTAAATATTTGTGCATGTCTTTGGTTGTTTTCTTAGGAAAGTTTATTAGAAATGAAATTGATGGGGAAATGATATAAACATACATTTTTAAAGGTAGACTCAAAAGCCAAAGGCTTTGCATTTTTTTACATGTTTTCTTTTTATGCCCAGTTAAATCTCTTGTCTATTCATTAAAATCTCATTCTTTATCCAAAACCCAGCTTCAAGTTTTATGTTCAAGATGATTTCAGTGGGACCTAGAATGCTCACTGATGTCCCACATCTCTTTTATTACCTATTTTTCATTTGGAAATAATTTCAGGCTTTAAAAAAACTTGCAAAACCAGTACAAAGTATTTCCATGTGCTCTTCATTCAGATTTTGTTCTACTTTCATTCAGATTTTGTTCCACCAATGCCCTTGTTCTGGTGCAGGGTGAAGCATTTCATTTCATTTTCCC